CCACCTCCTTTTCGCAGACAACGCCCCCTCCCTGGACCGCTTCCAACAACTATAACTGCAATAATTTTTTGTTACAATTATTAGCGCCCCGCACAAGACGAGCCAATCAGATAGCCAGCGACCGCGGCAGGGTGGGGGGGCCGGTCGCTTGAAACGGAACGGAAAAGTATTGGGCGTCCGAGATTAGCAGAGAAGAGCTAGAGAGAGGGAGTCCATCATGCAGTGGAGTCTCTTGCGAGTCGCTCCCCCTCGAGCGAGGCAAGGCCTCTCCTCAGCGGCAGACTCCGAGCCAAGGAGAAGGGGAACAGGGGGGGGGGGTGTCCTCGGGGCGTCCAGGAGGCTGAAGACCACTGGAGACGAACCTCCAAACGGGCACACAAGTGTCATCTAATGACGGGCTGGGGCGGCAGCAAGGCTGACAGCGAGGCGGTCCGAAAGGGCACAGCTGGGCGACGCGACACGGCAACGCGACGGTGACGGAATGCGGAACGACATCGTCTTTGTGTCGCTTAAGACAGCGGCCCCGGTGCGGCCCGGCCCGTCCGCCCGCCGCTATAGAAAGCGAACCCCTTTGAGCCGGGCCGGGGCGGACAATGTACCCACATTTAGCACCGGTCCGAAACAATGCTGCCGGAGCCATACCGGAGCCAGCCCCAGCCCGGGCGGGTGCGGGACGAGTTAAGGGGGAGTCCGCACCGCACCGCGCCCAGAGCAGAGTCCCGCCCGGTGCGGTGCGGTGTCGTAGTGGTCGTGGGCGTTTGCGGGCTAACCCGCGCGCCGAGCCGCTTTTGAGTTACCACCACCACCGTGCCCCCGGGCACAAACAGCTTGATAAAATACGATCCAGGACAAGGCATCCTTTATTGTTCAGTTCTGCTTGGGCGGGAGTATAAAGTTGAGCTGACGTGGGCACAGTACGCGTGAGCCAACCCTTACACACCCGAGCATGGGTGTGTCGCCAGGGTCGGGGGGCGAGACGGGTAAACGCTATAGCCCCTGGCCCGGCATCCGTGCATGACACACCCCAACCAAAGGCGTTTTACTGAATTTTGGATCCAAAATGCTCAAACTGCTTCAACTGACATAATAATGCAGACGCAAACTAGTCCCCCGGCCTTTCAAAACAATTTTAAGTATGGGGGAAAAATTGGAGCACAACACTAGACTTTTATCATATTCACGATCGGTTCTAGATTGAGGTTTTCGAATTCAGATTTTTTCATGCCATATTTTTAAAACATAATATTCATTTTGTGTTTATTAAAAACCTTAGTGTGAGAGAAGTTGAATATCAATTGAGCAAGAAAAGCGTTTATCCATGACATAGCAGTTTAATGTGCATCTCTCATTGACTGACAAAAAAAAGTTACAAATATAAAAACGCACTATACATTTTAAAAACAGTTTGAATGTCATAATGGATGTCACAGATCGCTAGTGTGGAACCAACGGCGCCCAGATGCATGGTGAACTGCCGACGGACACGCGTCGGGTGGGTGCGTGAAAATGCCGACGACGTACTCGGCAGGCGTGGCGACATCGTAGAGCTCTTGGTGGCAGACCAGCGGTTCACAGTATTCACACGTTTCTTCGGAAACCACGTCTTTGCAAAAGATTGCATTTTGCAGCTCCACGTGGAGCCAGGGGTTCTTCAAGAGCACCTTCTTCACCGTATCGTGGTGTAGAAACCAGTGAAAGCAACATCTCGAGGATGAGCCATCATCAATGCCGTCCTGCAAGACTATCTGCAAGCTCTGCAGCGAAGGGAGTTTGAAGATGAAGATGCCCCGCAGCACCTCGTCCACGCTGAACATGCACATCTTGATCCGGAGGCGGCGCAGCGTGGGCAGATATCGCAGCCCCAGCATCAGCTGCACCGGCACTGACTGCAGAGACTCCCCTTCGATTTCGAGGAACAGCTCCTCCACTTTGGAATCCCCCATAACCAAGCCCATGGTCAAATTCCTGGCGACTTCTTCACCGGGCTCTTCATCAAACAATCCAAAAATGTCTGAATCGTCCGAATCTACATCCTCATACTCATCGTCAGACGAAGCGCCGCCATGGAGAAAGCACAGATGGACGGAGCGCAGCTGTTCGGCGCCGATCAGCTGCGCGGCCCCCGCGGCGTTGTCGGCGTTGTCCGCGCCGTCCCGGGTCACGGTGAGCTTCACCTCCCTCAGCGACTCGCACTCGGCCAACTTGTCCAGCCCGGGCACGAGGGGGCAGCTCAGCTTACGCAGGCGGGGCAGGCCGGCCAGCAGGCGCGCCACGGAGCCGGCGGGCGCGGCGGAGCAGGCCGAGCTGGTGTCGAAGTGGACGGCCTCCAGGGTGGAGGCGTGCCCGGCCAGCATGCACTTGAAGAAGGGCAGCATCCCCGGGGCGAGGTGGCAGGCGAAGCTCTTCAGGGACGGCTTGATGGAGCCGCGGACACCCGTCACGCGTGACATGCGCAGGTCGCCCATGTTCCCGCTCAGCGCCACCCCCTCCAGGCCGGGGGTGGAAGACAGCGTCCCGAACAGCGACGCGACGGCGTCCTCCGTCGCAGAGGCGCCGTCGTCGACGTCGAAGTGCAGACGCACTGCTCGCAGCCGCCCGAGCGCCTCCTGCCGCTTGATGATCTGCACGGCCTCGGCGGCGTCCTCGGTCCGGACGCGCTTCATGGAGATGGACAGCTCCCGCGCGGCGCACGCCGTCGTCCGCAGGTCGCCGTGGTGGCACCTCGGCGCCGTCGCCGGGACCGCCGTCGAGAGCACGCGGGCGCACGGCGCCAGCCGCAGCAGCGGGCACGCCGTCGGGCCGTCCTCGACGGACAGGGCTCGGCGCTCCCACACCTCCGGGTAGTGCTGCCCCAGGCCGGCGAGCCGCTTGCACACGAGCCGGCAGGCGAGGGCGTCCTTCAGGCTCAGATACGACACGACCAGGGCCAGCAGGTCACTGCGTAGCTCATCCATGATCTATGTGGGGGCAGGAGGAACGCACGCACTTCAAGGGCACACCGTCACGAAGTCTCAGCCAGGCACTAGTCGAGGGATATTTACCTTGGAGCGCCTTAGAGGTTATGGTGCACAGCGTCGTCGTCGAGCCCGCCGCGCTGGTGAACGCGATGCTGTTCCTTCCTCCTCAAACCAAAACAACTGAGAAGCCTCTCTCTTTCCGCCTCGAGCTACTCACAACTGCTGACTAAACTGCACCCGCATCCGCGCTCTTCTTCGACTGACGTGAGACGTGCTCTTTCTGCTGCGTCAGGGGCCAGTGTAGCGTGTAGCCAGCCAGATAGAGGAGGCTGGCTGAGCCGACAAACCGCCACCAGGCGGCGCTCGAGTCGCCAAAAGTCGCGCCACCATGGCGCTAAAAACGCCAAGAAGATCGCCAATCACATCCTGGGAGTTTGGCGGAATATCCCGGAATGTCTGCGATGTGTCGGCGTCGGCTGTCGGCTGTCTCTGGCCGGGCTAGACCACTCTGAGCCGAGCCCAGGCCAGTCCCCGCTTTGAGAAGCATATGTCGCCCATTTCCACCCAAATTCAGCAAAAGGCGCCAAAAAGAAGCCCAAATCGCCATTTTTAAACCGTCCCTAAAACTGTCTAGAGCTACCAGAGGACAAGGTCTGCCTCCCCCCTCCTCACTCTCTATATAGCCAATGAAGTCGCCAGTCGTGAAGCCGAACCAAAAATCGCCAATGTGGCGAAAATTCAGCTGCAAAAAGTTAGCCCGCAAAAATCATCCCGCACGCTAAACACAGGCTTAATTGTTTGTTCTGCGTTTGTTCAGGACTTTTTGAAGCTCGGAAAGTCGCCGTCTTGACACACTGAGATTAGTATCTGCAGCTGCTGGGCGCGCTCGCGACCAAACAAATGGATTTGGTCCGCAGAGGCACAAAAGGTTACCCCGAGGGGAAATTGCAGAGCCTTTTAAAAATTATCGCTTTGGCCTACGGGATGTTTCGGTGGCGAATCCTAGAGTACACAAGCTGCGCAAATCACACCCTTAAGTTGATTAAATTTTGTGAGTTTGCTTTTAACGTTTAACACGTTGAGAGTGGCGTGACCCATACCATGGGTTTGCCTACCCCCGCCGCACTCATCGTCATCGTGTTAAAGATATGTAGGAGAATTATTGTTGCCAAGCCTTATGAACTCGCCATGCAGTGCACGGACCACAATGGTTGTCGGGTACCGGGGGAGGGGAGGGGGGGGCAGTTCAGTCACCTTGGACGGAAGGGTTCTCTGGGTGCAATGACTGGCAGGCCGCCCGGGCCGCGCCGCCGTCCCTCGGGGAAGACCCCCTAAAGACCCCCTACCGGGTCCGCTTCGGCTTCGGCCCCGCACAACAGTGTTGGGACTGGGTCGGGGCGGGGTAGGGACAGATGTTCCGCTGGGCTGGGCCGGGGCGAGGGCCGCGGGACCTCCTCCGGGCCGCCACTTGAAATGGGCCGAACACGCACCCCGGTGGTGATGGAGGTCCTGGGGGCCAGGTGGACACATCACGCGTGACGTCACGTCACCTGCCCCCCGCCACCTGCCCACTCCACTTTATTCCGGTCCACCGCTAGTCTATGCGAGCGAGGCGGGGCGGGGCGGTTCGGGCGGGGCGCGGTGGGGTCGTCGTTGCTCCGCGACGCTCGGTGACACGTGAACAGGTGCGGAAAGGCTTTGGCGAGATGACGAAGGCAGAGGGGCGCGCAGCTAGGGGCGGCACCTCATCGCTCCTAGGAGGAGAGCGCGAGAGAGACGCGATCGAGTGCGAGCGAGAGGGGCAGAGAGAAGGGGGTGGGGGGCACATGGCAGTGATGGCAGCCCATAAGCACATGGCGAGCGG